AGAGAGAAAGGTGAGAGGGAAGAGACAGACAGACAGACAAAATAAACTGTATGCAGAGAGCGGGCGAGTGAGAGGCAGAGGGTGGGTGCCCATTATGTAGTATTTATATAATTTTACTTGTTTAACAGTACTCCCCTACCACCATTAAAAAAACCGTGATACTGTACTGCAAAAAGACTATTTCGTGGAGTTAACACGTACTTAAGCACCCACTTAACACTCCCATCCATCCCTCTGTCAGCATGTCTTTCTGTCTGTCAGTATTCTCCGTCTTTCTTTCTCTCTCCCTCTCTATCTGTCTGTCTGTCTCTCTTCCTCCGCCTCTCTGTCACTTATTCTCCGTCCCATCTATCTACCTCCATCCCTCCTCTCTTCCCCTCTCTCTTTTTCTCTTTCTCATTCTCTCTCTCTCTCTCTCTCTCTCTCTCTCTCTCTCTCTCTCTCTCTCTCTCGTTGCACCTCTCTCTCTCTCTCCCTGCATCTCTCTCCTCCCCCCGCGCGCATATGTGCAATAAATAAGACGCAAAAAGCTCAGACTAATCAGGGAATATACACGCCAAGTCTGGACTATTAGACACTAAAAATCAGACCGGCACCCGATTCATAAACTAGAACCCTTTTCCCCAGTCTCCCGTCCCAGCGGACTAACCACATGGGAGACACTCCCACGGCACAGAAACAATTTGTAAGCGGCTCTCGTGAACGAGGCACGGGGTACAGACGTAGTAGACCCAGTGCTGTTGACGATGAACCGCTGCCCACTTAAGGTTAGACACATTGCAACAGCATATTGTGACTGAGTGAGAGACGAGAATGAAGAGAAAGGTGAACGGAAAGAGACGGACAGATGGACGGACTAAGAGACAGACAGACGGACGGACGGACGGACGGACAAGACACATAGACGGACGGACGGACGGACATAAAGACAGACAGACAGACAGACAGACAGACAGACAGACAGACAGACAGACAGACAGACACGAGAGGAGGGAGAGACTGCGATAACATTAGTCGTGTTTACGAAAAAAGGAGGGGACTGGGGGTTTGTGTAAGAATAGACGAATTAGCTCATATTGAAAAAGGCATAGGAGAGGGATGTAGCAGAGGAAAAGAAGAGGGAAGGGGAGGAGGAGGCAGAAGAGAAGGAGGAAAACGACGACGCCGACAAATGCCAACAAAAATAATATACAACATAAAAATTGGAAGGAAGAAACCGATTGAGTCATATATCCAGAGAGACAGAAGAAGCGTGAACGAGAGATTTGGAGAGAGTGGGTGAGAGGGGAAGAAAGAGAGAGAGACAGAGAGAGAGAGAGAGGGGGGAAGGAGAGAGAGAGTCGGATACAGTTGCACAGAGACACAGACAGAGAGAGGGAGAGAGAGGGGGAGAGAGAGGGGGTGAGGGAGGGAGGGGAGAGAGAGGGAGGGAGGGGAGAGAGAGAGAGAGAGAGAGAGAGAGAGAGAGAGAGAGAGAGAGAGAGAGAGTGAGGAGGGGGGGGGGGCAGAGAGGGGGGGGGGCAGAGAGGGGGGCGGGATGCGGGCGCAAAGAGAATAAAGAATTCCAGATCAAGAGAGAGAGAAAGCCAGAAAAAAAAGTTGAGGATTACACCCAACACCATTCACCACCCCCGCTGGGCCCGATATATCCCGATATGCCGTCCCGATCCCTCAGGGTCCGATCGTTGTGTACGGGGGTGGACTTAATCCTATCTGCTCGGGGCCAGTCGGGAACAGCTGCTTGCGGTGGTCCGGGTAATCTGCTGGCTATTACTTTTAGAAAGCCTCTGACAAGACATGGTCAGGTTCATTGTTTGTTTCTCGGGGAGGTTAAAGTAAAGCCTGCTTGCTCCTGTTTTCCCCCTTTTTACCCCAGCTTTGGCTTCTCTTTCGATGTAAATCACCACAACGGTCACTGACAGGTTTTTATCACCTCTCCCCCTCATATTTTGGGGGGTTTGTTTTTCTTTTTGATGTAGGTGGGGGGGGGGGAGGGGTGCCCCCACCGACACGATTTTGATCATTTAGGAGGTGGGTTTCGATTCAGCCTGTCAGGGTCATTTCGTGCTGAGAGGGATACAACGTTCCAGACGAAAAACTCACATGATTGATAAAAATTCTCTCCACACAAGAATCAAACTCAGACCATATGCGTGGGGCGGCATGAGAAAAAGTGTCTGGGAATAGTGAGTGTACATGTGGGAGGGGAGGAGAGAGAGAGAGAGAGAGAGAGAGAGAGAGAGAGAGAGAAAGAGAGAGAGAGAGAGAGACAGCCACCCACTCAACGAGAAGACAGTCCTGAGCCTAAACACAAACACGAACTTTGGAAACATTTTGAACAAGAAAAAACTTAGATAAATAGGCAAAACTTAGGACAAACACTATACCCCCGGGATGGTGTCACTGACTGAACTGCTGCTTTTTCGTTCCTAATCCGTACTATCGTCCTGCTTCTTTTGTATGTTTGTCACACTCTTCTGACACGCTATTTCCGGGGTGCCTTTATAGTCGAAGCAGACTTTGTGCTGTCGAAGCTAGAGAGGTGAACAGAGTAAGTCGGATTCCCTGTAAGTGTAAGGACTTCTCTGTTGACACCCACCCTTTGGCGCTCATATGACCTTATGCAGTTGCGAGCGCCGTAAAAACTCTACTAAAACTAAAACTAAAAAAAACGAACGCTATTATCTCAACGACTTGTTTCGCCGAATCAGAAAACCTCGCTTTTACTTTGGGAAAGGCCTCGGGGAGTCATGGTTGAAATTCACCACGAATTTCCATGGTGCTTGTCCGAAGTAAGTGATGTCGTTGACCCGTTTGTTTGTTTGAGTAAAGAGGAGCGCATTAACATAACAACGGTTATTAATTCAGCGCTGGGGAAAAGACAGACAGACAGAC